AAGTCATTCAAATCAATAGATTAGGGAATGATGGTATAAAGTTGAGAAATAATTACCTGCGCTTGATTAAAAGATAGGAGGGTGTTGAGTGGACGTCCAAAAAGCAGCTTAACTTGTCCGCCGACCGATGATTCAAACTAAATTCACAATCGTTAAGGCATTTTAATCTCACTAATTAAAACAATGTACTATATTGCACAATCTCCGTCATGCTCTTCCTTGGTTATTCGTCCTTCATGTACCAAAATTAACGGGTTGTGACTTAAGGTTTCCTAACCTGACTTACAGGTGCCCAGGCTTACATGTCACAAAATCAACGAGTTCTACGTACGGTATGAAGCAATCTCAATCGCACTCTTCCTTTTATCATTGAACCTTGGCGACCCGGGGCTATCGTCAGGCTCTTTGCTAACTATTAATCAAGAAATGACTAATTTATAATAAATAATGGCCGGTATTGTCTAGACGTTAACGCACACAAGCGGACACTTAAGAATAAGATAATTAAACAAACCATTCTATAGCCATTTAAATCTAAATGTTCTTTTGTTATGCATATATAGAACCCTAAGCTTTGGCATAATCTGCTCTAAATGCTCGAATATGGCAAACGGGAATTGAAGGCTCTTAAGCAGCCAGATTTCAATCCGACAGTGATTTTGGCGTCTAGCAGCGGCCAATTGGCTAGCGTGATAGGAGAAAGGGGGACAGAATATCCCGTCGGAGCACTGCAAACGGCAACCGGTATCGGTAGTGGGGATGATTACCCTTCATTAAACCCACTTATAGCGACGCTCTCTTAGGCGACGATGGACAGAATTCTGTGAACAGCAAGATGGGCCATATGAAGTGGGGTTGAGTGAAAGAGATACAGCACGTAAAATATGGGTGTAGAGTGATGCCATAGCACTTGAACAGAAACTTGGTCAAGGAAACGACCTTTGCTTATCACTTCAATAAGTTAGCTGTGATAATGACGACGCTTCTTATTGATGATGCCGAATAAAAGGCCAGTGAAACTTTTGGGAATGTATCAAATCAAGTGACGAAAGCTGGAAATCACAAATACTATGGCAGAGGTCACTGAAACAGGTGTTTCACTAGGTCTCCCTGACGCTCCGACCAATTTGCAAGAACAGGTTGAATCATACAATAAGTACTGCTATTTGCCTTATCCAATATAAATTTGCCTGATCGGCGATTTGATCACAGAATATGATGTGGGAAAAGGATTGTCCTTACTTTAAATTACTATCTTTAATGTTACTAAGTGACACATCTTGAAATGTGGCTTCGGCTGAATATAACTCATTTAATGTAGTGCAATATTTATCCTGTCGAGATTATATTCCTCTCTTTCATGTTTCGTGTACTTCTAGAGTTGTTATTAAGACGTATGCAATGTCAAGACTGCAAGTGAAAGTAAACTCACTTGTAATATATATTTACTTCAAAAATAAATTGATCAAAGTGCTAATAATAGTATAATTTTGTGCACCTTTCTAAAGTATAGCGTTTTGCACTGATGATGTCTCTAAAATGAATACCAAAATTTTTCCACGGCTTGATCTTTGTCGCAGGACAGTCAGCCGAGAAATTCGTTGTGCAATCCAACTACCTACACTCAAAATCAATCTTTTTCATATTCCTATGTAATCAATTCACGAATTACTTTTGACAAAAGTGAATTTTAAGATGGAATGTCCAATAACACTCATTTTTGTGGTTCCCACAATAAAATCAGAAGTATAAATTCATATTAGTTAGTTTTTTTATAAATGTCCTTAAAAGCAAAAATTGACAGCAATTTGAATATCAAAAGATGTCATATGCACCAACGATAGAATTTGAAGACAGTTTGTATGCTTCAAGCGATAAATTTGCAGTCAACATACTTGAAAGCCTGTGTGGAATTCATAAGCATTTAAGGGATGGTCTATTTAAGATTAAATTTTAGTACTTAAATGAGTTATTTAAAATAAAAACTTAACTATCCAAGGCGAGAAACATTGGTTAACAATTAACTTATAAAAAG